CCCCCCCCCCCCCCCCCCCCTTCCTGCACTTTTTTCATCCGCAATACGCTTATGCTACCTAGAGAGGGTAGGGCCCAGTTTGAAACCCTTACAGGAATTTTCCAGGTGGACAGAAGCTGTATATTCAGACCATTTCCAGCCTGCAAAGAGCTGGAAAATGGTAATTACAGGTTGTTTTACAGCTGGAAATTTACAGTTAGAATTTTATTCAGAGCACCCTTCATTGGAATACAGCTAAATTTACAGTTGAAATTCAGCTGCTTCTATAGATGGACCTCCAGCAATAATAGCCAACAAAAGCATTCTCGTTCCACCAAAGTATTGCAGTTAGAAACAATCTGGATATGACTTTACTTTCCAGCTGCTACCCAACTGGAAAGTATGGGAAAGTAATGGGTCTGAATTTCCAACTAAGGTTCAGTTGAAAATTATAGCTGTTTCCAACTAGGATTTTCAGCTGGGGGGGTTCAAAATCAAACTTTTCGCAAATTACTTTAAGGGTTATACATAGCTAATATTTCATGTAAAATATAATGGGTGGATTAAAAATTAGTTACAGAGGCATCTGAAGGTCAATTGCCCTCATGTGTAACAACCTCATGCAGTGGCATATTTTCCAGGGGGGGCAGGGGGCTGCAGCTGCCTCCCCCCCCTGGCATCCCTGGGACAGGGCTTGGTGCCCCCTCTCTGCTGCCCTGTCCCCCCTGACTCTTCAGTCAAAATGCACCACTGACCTCATTCCATGTTTTACTTAACAACCATAAGACTTGTCCATGGATATTCATCACATATCAGACATGATGCCATTTGCCCATCACACTTAATAATGCAATGCAGGTAAATATATTATACACCATACAATTGTTAATATATGAATACCTATATGGTGGTATACGGCAAATATATGATCATAAATGACCATATAGAGTCATACACCTTGTGATACATGGAATTTTCAAGTGGGTATTTACCATTTTTTAGCTCTTGGCAAACTGGAAATGGTCAGAATATACAGCTTCTGTCCACCTGGAAAATTCTAGTCAGGATTTCAAACTGGGCCCCACACTCTCTAGCATAAGCATATCATGGATGAAAAAAGTGTGGGAGGAGGGGGGGGCATGGGAACTCTGGGATACTGTTATCATGCATCTTTTCCTTTGTATTAATGCGTTTTTTGCTGTTGTAAAGTGGGGGGCACATGCCATGCCATGCTATGCCATGTCGTGCTGTGCCTTGCCTTCACTGAACAATTCCTTCATTGGATAATTTCAGAAAGAAATACTGTTTCTGTTCCCATCTATCTTCTGAGTTGTCAGTCAAAATGAAGAAGTTATATGAGTACATATATGATATATATACTTACATGAGTAAGCCAAGTTTTGTCTTGAAATAGCATTACTGATGAAAATACTTGTGAAGGTTCAAGTCTATAATATTGAAACTTCACCTTAATTAACAAGGGTGCATATGTTGAATACTATGAAACATGCATTCTTAGAGTAATTGACTGTGGTCTATGAACAATTGAAAATGAGTTGCTTGCAAGTAAAGTATGGTGACTTGCATAAGAACAATCATACAGTACTTGATGGATTATGGACACTTTTTGGATACAGGCATGTTTCAGGTAATCTCACCATACATAGGTATGACATGGCATATATGGACAGTATATGGTGCATAAGTATGAGCCAATATATAAAAATGTATGGGGTCATATATTTTCATTCTTAAATGATTTTATGTGCCTTGTGTCAAACCCCATATATGTTTCACATATGTTCATATATGAATTGCACTATATGGTCATATATGCCCTATATATGTTGGACTGGTTAAATATATGGCCATTTCATATATGGTCTTATATGAAATTTTCACATGGGATTGCATTGGAAGTGAAATACTTCAAATGCTGCATGGGAAATTCAGGTGTGTCAGATGTGATTGAAGAAAAAGAGAGAGTATTGGATCCTGCAAGCTACAATAAGTGGCAGTATTGGGTCAAAATGCATACAGTATTTGAGTTGTGGAGTGTGTGGCAGCAAAAGGTGACTGAAAGGCCAGAAAGCCACAAGCATCACTATAAAGCTGAAATTATCCTGTTGTGAAACTTGGCGTGTGGACCAATTTGACTTTGTGGTAGAAAACGTACACAGTCATTTGGTGGTTCATGATGACATTATGGTCTGAAAATGGCATTGGCTTTTATAATAGCTGCTTGATGTGCTTTCTTTTTTTGATGGCCATCACCTCCAATCATGAGAACGCATTTCACACTGCTGCCTGAAGCATATCAGGGGGTATGGAGCACATTTCCTGCTGTATGCTCTCTTTCAACTTCTTGCACGTTGTGAGGCCATTGCAGTAGAC